TATATATATATATATATTTTTTTTTTCTTCAGTTTTTGGACTCGCAGTACATTGTCAATGAGGTTTACTCGACTTGCAAATACCTCCGCACCTCTATGGAATGGAAGCACATCTCTATTTATTTCTATGATTATGTTTTTCTTTGGAACTTTTGATTGTTTTACTGTTTTAATATCTTCTCCGATGCTTAGGGAGTGTCATGATTATTTTATGCTATATATATATATATATTTTTTTTTTCTTCAGTTTTTGGACTCGCAGTACATTGTCAATGAGGTTTACTCGACTTGCAAATACCTCCGCACCTCTATGGAATGGAAGCACATCTCTATTTATTTCTATGATTATGTTTTTCTTTGGAACTTTTGATTGTTTTACTGTTTTAATATCTTCTCCGAAGCTTAGGGAGTGTCATGATTATTTTATGCAGTATTTAAATGCAGTTGTGCACATGGCTCCAACATGCAGGAACTGTTGAGAATAGTTGCAATCTTGTACATTAAAATTACAAATAAGATTTATTCCCAAGCTTCAGTTTTGGCTTGTTTTACTTTTGATGATGACGACACAGAATATCATGCAACACGTGTTTGTAGCCTTAAAAACACACACACACACACACACACGCATTGCAACATATTGCATTGCAACTGCCGTTTGTCCTTGTACACAGTGGCCCTCCTTTGCCTCAGGCAGCGTGCGCGTGTCTAGGTGGGACTGCTGTGAGTCCTGGGGAGCCGTATCCTCCTGCTCAGGGATCGGGCCAGGCGGTCCACAGCGCCGCCCATGGCGCCCCCCAGCTCCTTGCTGGAGGTCAAGCCCTCAATGTTGCCGCTGTACCACAAGACCCAGCCTGCCAAGGACAGCAGCACCAACAGGGCTCCCGAGTACACCAGGAAATCCCCAAAGTCTCTTCCTCGGATCTCCAGCGGCGCAAAGACACCCAGCAGCAGGGACGTCACGCCCAGCAGGTCCATCAGCACCGCAAACACCAGGGCCAGCTTGCAGTGGGACAGGCCGTCGTACTTGGGGGCCATTGCTAAGCACGTGGATGGATGGAGGGATAGATCATTCCTTGCGGGAAATTAAATTGTCGCAATATTCACACAACCGGTATACAAACAAAAAAGTCCTGCAACGGGAAGATCATACAGTACATTTAAATCTAATCCTAAAATTAGGAAACAGCGGGGTGGGGGGCAAAAATATTTATCTTTGTCACAGGCTTCTTGTAATGCTGGCCACCTTGCCTAAATTCTCACTTGAACAGATTATGAAATTCTACCTCCGAAATGAAATTATAGTTAAATATAATCTGTTCAATATTTGGTTCAGGGTTCTCTCTATTACGAATACATGTGGAGGGTCAACAGTGGTTCATGTACTCTGATCTGTTTGTTATGTCCACTTTGTGATTATTGGTGTAACAATAGTATTGTTAGAGCAAGAAGCTTTAACCGTCCACTCTGTTTGTTTAGACAGAACAGAACAGAGCGAAACAATTGGTGAGATCTTATAAAGCCCCTAAACTCGGACGCTACACATGTATTAACCAAATTTCCATTTCAAAGATTCCTTAATGCTGCTCCTCTTGTACCTTTACTTTGTTGGCCGTTTCTATGTATATGTGAAGCTCGTCGCGGTGACAAGTGAATTTGCCTGACGCGATGAATAAAAAACAAGTAATCATCATCATAATTCGTACAGATGGTGCAAAGGTGTTTAAACGGAACAGCAGGCGGAACAACATGCGGGAACACCGGCTTGGTGTCAAAACGGTCAAAAGTGCCACACCTGTCCTATGAGCTTCAGGTGACAAAGTCAGCCCCGGATCACAACACGGCACAGCCCGAAATCGTCCAAGATCAATACTTGTGGGGGGGCGGGGGGACCAACCACACAAACAAGCAACATTTTCATCCTCGAAATGTTACCTTGAAGTTATCCAGATTTGCTCACTGCGTAATGCGAACGTCTTCACGAATCGTTTCTCACACGGCAAGAACGACTCCGGAGTCACCAGTAAAAAAACCGAAACTTGACACCTCGTCACTTGCTCGACCTGTCGTGACTCACCGGCGCCAACGCAGGCGAATTTGAAAAAAAGCCCCAAACATTTCCGCACAACTTGTTATAAGTGAGGCAAGAGTAGTTCATACGTCTCCTGTTGTATTTCACTTTAGGTACGGAGTGTCAAATTTTAAATCATGTAAAAATGATTTTGAAAGCCCCGCCTTTTTGACTATTGACTCGATTATAACCGGAAATGACGTCTGCCAGCATGCAATAATAATATTGTTATTGTTAGCTTGTTAGCTAGCGGAGGGGCTCGCGAGATGGCGACATGACAGAGTAATAACGACGTCTTATTACATGTCTGTCATAAGCCTATTACCAGCCTTCATCCGGTACGTACTGTACCCACACTGGCACCTTTGCAACAGAAATGGGACGATGCATTTCCAGAAAGACAGACTGAAGTGGAGAAAAACGTTTTTGGGGTGATTGACGTTATTTTCACAGCTCGATGGTTGCTCGCTGTTATGACGGGCTGGTTTTGAACAGCTCGTTAGCATATTGCATCTGTACTATAAAAAACAAAAACAAAACATGTCATTATATTTGAGTTTCGAGTCATGCATAAAGCGAGAACAAAGAGAATGATTGAGATGAAGTTATTGTTTTCTTTTTTTTTATAACCCTATTTAAAAGTTGTTACATTTTTTTGCCTGTCTACTGTGGATAAATCAAATCAAATACCAGAAACACTTTTCATGACGATGTCCTGACAACTCTTTAAGATGTAACTTACATTACAATCTTCACACATTTTTGAACGATAATTTGGAACGTCTCAATCAAACCTCAGCATTATTTCCCGTGTGAGTTGAGTTGAGTAAAGGCAGTTTTTATTTATATTTTTTTAACACAGCTCCTGTAATGGATTGCATTCCACGTGTTCAGGATATGATCACCTCAGGTAAAATATGTGTTGCTAAAAATAAATGCAAGCCAACAAAAAGAACAAATTCGCTCTAATCAAATATTGTTCCACTTTTCTAGATGTTGGTGATGGATAACGGAAGAAGGTCTGATGCCGCAGCCACATCCAAGAAGCATTTAGGCACTCCACAGCCGCAGAGTAAGATAATCATCTTCACAATATTGTACACGGTCCCTTTGAAATAATTCATTCCTATTCTTTCCTGCCTTTGAAGTTCTAAAAAACGAAGATCGTTATGAAGTAGCCATGCCGCTGGAGGAGAGCAACTTTGAGCAGCAAGCAGGATTTTTCAACCAAAGTGGCCAAAATTTTGAAGGTGACTGTCACATCATCGTTCCCCATTGAAATGAATGGAAATGCCATAATCCGTTCCAGCCCCACACTTTGTTGATTCTTGTGTGCTCGCTGTGGCCACCAGGGGTAAGTGTCGTTCAGACATACAGGATAAAGTAGTAACGTGACAAGTTTCAGATAAAAATATCAACCAATAAGCTGGCTAAAATGACCATGACGTCTCAAACAACATCACTTGGCCCCCAAAACTTGACTTAAATAACTTGAATGGAATGTTATTGATGACGAGAGTGGTGTGGGCAGTAGATTTTAATCATTTGAGTTGTTATGGAGGGCTTGAGATGTATTTGCAGTGCTCTGGCCATGTTTGTTTGTTCGTTTGTTTTTAGAAAATTCCACAAAGATTGTGACCGCTTGTCATGTTGCCGGAGAAAGAATATATTCCTTTCAAAATTGTTGTGTGTTTGTCTACATGTGTTTCAGGGGTTGTAACGCCACAGCATCAATGCTTATCGTTAGCTTGTCTATAGCATTTGCATCGTGTGTTAGAATTAAGCTTCCTAAGGCAAAGTCATGAGGATGATTTAAATACATACCATGTCATTCTTTTAGTTATACAGTATGTTTAATTTGACCTTCAACTTGTTTTGCCAATGTTCAATCCTTGGCAGAGTCGGCGCCATCTGCTGGCCCATCTCACGTCAGCAGCTCCTACATGGTGATCACAAACCTACGGACACAGCTGCAGATTTCTGTGGAGAAAAACTCCTGGCTTCAGAAAAGAATTGAAGACCTGGAAGAGGAGCGGGACTTTCTGCGGTGCCAGCTCGACTGTTTTATCTCGTCCACAAAGAGTCAGCGTCAGGATCGGGGTCAATACAGTGACGGTAAGGAGAACATTCCAAGTGACAAAATATCAAATAGTAGTGCTAGGAGTTATGGCCTTAAAATGAAATCTCCGATTTTTTTCCACAATAATTCATAATAATTCATACAACAGGTTGCAATGATGCTAACGCTGTAGGTAGGAGAGAGAGAGAGAGAGAGAGAGAGAGCGAGAGAGAGAGAGAGAGAGAGAGAGAGAGAGAAGAGAGAGAGAGAGAGAGAGAGAGAGAGATTTTTTTTGGCGCTTTCTAATAAAGATTTGCTCTTTATTTTTCCATTCTCTTCTTTGCTTTAATCACTCAGCTCAACTGTAAAGCCACCCAAATTGTGACAATTTGGCATTTGCAGGGTACGAGTCAAGACGGTTCACTTGGAGGGGAAGGAGAGAGGATGATCGTCCTTCTGGTTAGTCTGAGAACACTTCTATGGAAAGCCACTTGAGCATTTACCCCATAAACTTGATATTCACGTACCAGTTTGCTCTTGGCAATTCGGTATGCTCGAAGAACTGTGTCTTACTTGTCACTTTTTTTTCCATAACGATTTAATGGGGACAGAAGGATTTTTGAACGTCATTATCTTTGTCTTGCGTTCAAAAAAAAAAAGCAAAAATGTGTTTTTGCTGGTGTTGAAATAACTAATATTGACTGATTAAATTGGCCAGGCAATTATCGGATCCCCCCTACTTCTAGACCCGACAACAGCTAGTAACAATAAAATAAATAATGAAAGCGATAAACCCTCTAATAGGCTTGCTTCACTAGTAACATGTAGTTGTATGGCTAGCATGCCAAAGTTGTTCTCGTCGTGTGGATGAAGTTCATCGTACAACTAGGAATGCTCTAAAATTCTACAAGTCACGTTTTCTGCCTCACTGTAATTGTCATACTTGAATGCCAACGTTGTCCTACTGGTGTGCAGAAATGTCATACAGTTGTGAAAAAAAAAAACATTCCTTGGAAGACACAGTTGTTCTACGAGCGCCTTGTCCTCGTTCTACCAGTCCGACAAATTGTCTCATTCCAAAGATTTTCAAGAATATTGCAATCAATGCTCAAATGGCCTTCCATACATTTTTGGGCGAGGTTGCAGCACTCCCTTACTGACTGGCATCTTCTTCTCATAGAGCAAGAGAAGACGGACTCGCCGCATTTTCCCTCTCGCCAATTTATCCAACGCAGGCCCGCTGCGCCACCCGCGGCTCCCTCTAAAAACCTCGTCTCCAATCCAGTAAGCAATCAGATGGCCTCCATGAATGCCCTGTTCAGCCCGTCACACTCCGCGGCCCTCCTGCAAGGCCTCAGCACCGCTTCAGTCAGTGGCGGCGACGCCACCCGTGCCACGAGATCACTGATGAATGATGTGAACGGCCATCGAAACTTGCGTGCAGGTAATACAAATTGAACAAGGTAAATCATCACGACTTTAACTCGCCTCGCGAATCATTTTCCCTCATTGAAATGCATGAAAATGACATTCCTATTTTCTAGCCCCGCCCCACCCCGAATACCAACAAGATTTTTTTGTAATGTGTTTCCTTTCCCACATGTGAGGGCATGACATTAAATGATGATGCTGTAGAAACCCACAGAAAAGACAGTTGTTTACAAAAACGCCATGTGCCAAAGGTGGAGGATTAGCAATAAGGCGGGCAACGCTAGCTGAGGTCTCTTGTCTTTTCATTCTTTCATCAGATTCGCTTTCACTCTTGGGGGAGTCGGATGAGTACTTGGAGCATGATGGCTTCCTAGAAGAGGCGGAAATGATATCAGGAGAAGGTGCCATGCAAGATCCCACCGACAGCAACAAACAACATTTAAAGAGAAGGCGGATATTCCGGGGCCTTCGAGAGAGGCAAAGAGGTAAGAAATGATGATCGCGCTTCATACAGTTTGGTCTATGAATTTTTGTGTACTACCACAGTGGTGTGAAACTTCCGCTTTAATTGGAAACCTCTCAATATGGAATTCTCCATTATTGTGAAATTCCACACATTTCAACGTGGTGTTCTTCTATATTTGCTGTCTTAACAGTTCCACAGAAGAGTCTATATTCACCGCACTGCAACACCGCATATTTGTAGTTCGGCATTCACAAATTCACGGAATTGCCGAAAATCTTGTCAAATTGCTGTTCTGGTGGTTTGGCCAAAGTCACAAAAATATAAAATATATTATGTATAAAATTACTTTGGCGCCATCTGGTGGAATCCTGTTGTTCTTTTTATGTCCAATTCATGAATAGTGTTGTGTTTTTTTTGGTCTGCGTTATAATTACCCTGTTTTGTTGGTGTTCTTTGAATGCACCGCCTGTGCAAAGTCAAAGTGGTTTTCATAGTCTACTGTGCCGTTAAAAATGGTCTCTTTTCCCTTACATTTAATTTTGTGCGTGAAAGGATGAATTTAGTGACTTAAAACTGTTTGTGTAAAGGGCTAGTGCAAGCGTTTGTTAGCCTGTGTGCGATGCCACATCAGTTTCCGCGAGCATGTTATTTATGCTAGTATGCTAACTAATACTGACAAGTGCTTTACCTCCATCACATGGAATATATGCAATTACAAATGATGGATTTGTGGATTTTCGCTCTTCACAGCAGGGCTCGGACCATATCCCTGTGCATCGCAGAGGTTCATCCAAACCTGAAATGTAACATAGGAGTCGGGAACTGTCTATATTATGTGCATTGGGCTACACCCTGTGAAGAAGAGACAAGTAGCAAATAGCACAGAAGGAACCACGACAGGACAGGACAGCCTCTGAAGTTCAAGCTGAAAGTTTACACTCCTTGCGCATCGTGATTGTTTTATTTCAAATCAGTGCTGGTGGAATACAAAAGAAAATACTCCTGGAGACTCCCTTTTGACTGCTGTAACGAACCCTCTTCTTCTGTTCCGTACTTCAGTAAAAGACGCAGCCGGAGTGCTTTTCCGCTACAAGAAGATCCTCCTCACATACCAACGACTAAAAAACATGTCCAAGGCATTCCAAATTCACGGTGTGGACCGCAACACGGTGGCCTCCACCACACCCATCGCCGAGCTACTGCTGGTGGCTCCCGAGAAGGTAGCCGTGGTGGGAGAGTTTGACCCGTCTAAAGAGAAGCTGCTGGACTATGCTCGACGCTGCTACACGGCGCTGGACGAGGAGACGAGGAGCAGGGTGCAAGCCCTGAAGAAGAACAACCTACTCCTGCCCATTTCCTACAGGTTCAGACATTGACACAAGAACCAGGTCAACGACCAGAGGGGTTGACGGAAGGACGTCCGCAGGCACGGAGAAGTATTTTGTTCTCTTAGGGCTTGATTTACTGAAGCCCGCCGTGCACTGAGCAGCACAGCCGAACGCAACAATAACAAAATATTGAACGCCTCTTCCACTAACACTTCCAATTCCATCACTTCAAACTTCATTTTACACTTGTGGCACTCTCCCAAATTTTTCCATGGTGGGACCATCAAAGCATTTAGCACCCGCTTTCTGGGATCTCGGTAAATCAGGCCCCTGCCATGGTAAAACTGCTTTGTGATTATTTATTTACATTTTTTTTAACGTGTGTCATAAACATGTGACTCATGGGGCCTTGTTTTCATGTGCAAGTCGAGTGCAAGGTGCAGTCTAACTGGACGCACGGAGTTTTCTTCCTTTTGACATTTTCATACACGGCCGTAGAGGCGTCAGTTTTTACGGCGAGTGCACAGAGTCTTCGAAAATAGAGTCTGTTGTGTCATCTTCTGTCTGATATGGAGATCGTTTTCCGTAAATTCCACGCCCTCCACGTGTGATGTAAAAATAAAACCTTAACATAAATAAGTGTGGATGGCCTTTGTGATCCACGTAAAAATAATGTATACATCTTTAAAAAACAAAATCGAATGTGTGATACAGTTGAAATCATTCCCATTACACTTTATTTTACTAACGATATGGAATTTAATAAAAATCAAATAATACGTAGTGTATGATTTACTTGTTTATTTTAATGCCAAATGGCCTTCATAAGACTAACAGTAGCGTTTCTTAAAGGCATCACACTTGGCGCAATATGCTCCGGCCATCACGGTGAAGCTAATAGGGTGACGTTCAGATTAACCCAATTCGTAGCAAAAAAAAAAAAAAAAAAAAAAGCCATAACGTTAACGAACTGAAAAGAGTGACTTTCTTTGGAGTTTATTTCGAAAATAAAATATAATAAAATGTCAAAAGAAGAGTTGACGGCCATTTTCCGGAAAGCCATTCATCAGCTTCCGGTGTTGAGGAGGACCAGGGAGACGGAGGGAGAAAGAAAAGCGGGCATACACTGTTTTCTTCATACTCTTCGCCGACCTCCAAACCCACAAGGCGTGCGCCTTTTGGAATTTGAAGGCGGCCGACTTATCTTTCGGGTCGGCCAATTCACCGCGGAAGTTTGTTTTTGGCGTGCAGTTGAATTGTCCCCATTCATTCCGTTGTCTGTGCTAGCACGCTAAGCTAAGCTATTTTAGAGTCTGCTGCGCCAGGCCTTTTTTTCCTCCTGCTGGACTTTGTTACTAGCTCGTTTTGCTAACCCACGTTTTTTTTTCCTCCGATGACTTTCCCCATCATCTGAGAAATAAAACCCACTGCTCTTTTCTGTGCTAATCAGAATCTAGTAATTCTATAGTGGGTTTCCAGTCGTCGCTAAATTCCGCGTGCAACCTTTTTTTGGGAGGGGGGCGGTTTCGAGGAGCACTTTTTTAAGCGAATAACGCAGACCCGCGGAAAGCCGCCGAAGCTTGCAGAGATGTCAGACTTCGACGAATTTGAACGGCAGCTGTCTGAAAACAAGCAAGGTGAGCAACGCACACGTTCGGGGCGCGCTATGAATCTGCCGATGCCGTTGAGTTGTCTTGCCGCCATGACGCTAGGCTACTCGGGCTCGGTCTATTTGCTGGAAGGTAAGGGCATCACAGTCGCTCGCCGGAGACTCAAAATGGGACCGCTTGCTAGTGTTGCAGCAGATCGACTTTTAAGAGCGTTGCGGGGTTTTTTTTCAGCAAGTGAATTCAACCGATTCATAATAGAGGGAACATGGTCATTAAAACACACTGGCTCGTTTGTCGCCGATTCGCGGCTCACGCTGTACTCGAGTGGTAGTGCAGATACTTGGCTAAAAAGTCCCATTCACCGCCTTTTGATTGAAAGTACGCAAATTACAATCCCCATAATATTGAAATGGTAAATTCACATTGAAAAGTTCGTTTTTAAGATGTCACTTTTAATAATTAACGGTATTCGGTCACGTGAAGATACCCACCATGTGAATGATTTCTCACAATAAATACAAGGTAGAAAACTAATAGTATCAATATGCAAGAAAAAAATCTCCCAATCTCTATGTGATTTAAAAGAACGTCAACAACCTTCCTAGGAAATAACAATATCCCATCACAGGTGTGCTGATTTTAACTCAGGCCAACAGGTAAATCTTGTTTTGGTGGTCTTGGTGTACAGTGAAAAGAAATAAAACTAATCCAACTTTGGCTCTGGCCCTGGCTTTTATGCTGTCAATAGCGTGTCCCCATAGCTTTGCTAACATTCCATTGTTGGGGGGGGGGTAACTTGTTACTCTGAAGCCGTTGTGTTGGCCTCTTTAACAATAAAAACGATGTTGCACGAATTTGCCTTTATAAAAACAATATGTTGCACGAATTTGCCTTTCGAAACATTGTTATTAGTCAATCGCATAATTCCCGAAGTCATTTTTAACTCAATGTCAAAATAGCAATAGGAATGACCAGTGTGCTGATCAACAAAAGACAATTTTTTTTTGTTCTTTCTGCAGATTCTCAGTCATACAGGTTATGGTAATGGTCATTCAGAAAGCAACAATTAGCTCAGATTACTTTACGCTGTTCTTTTTGCGCCTTTAAAATGTGACTCAAACGTCACATTTTTTTCAAGCTTCATCGCACAATTGTCAAACAATTTATCTGCTTTCACCATCCGTCCTTTTTGTGGTCCAGCTGAGCGGGACAAGGAGAACCGGCATCACCGCCGCTCCGGCTCCCGTAGCCGCAGCCGAGACAGGAAGAGGCGAAGCCGAGACAGGGACAGACGTAGCCGGGATCGCCGTGGTGACAGTAAGGATCGCAGACACAGACGCAGGTGCGTAGCCCCTTTGTCTTCATCCACGAGTGGGCCGGCACGCTGGGAACATCTGTCGCAGCCCACGAACGCCAGCCGGTCTTTTCTGTCGTTTGAGGTTTTGCTCCTCTTGATTCAATTAAGCGTATCAATATGCCTCCTTCGCACTTTGTCTGCATTGGCCTCTTTCTCTCACTTCCTCTTCTGGGAAAGAAGTGATTTTACACATGATGGGAGACTCTGTTGTTGATGGCATTAAGCGCTCTCCACGTCCATGCATCCTGTCGTTTTCAATTTGGGGATTTTGCATCTTCATTAAATGCAGCATCTGCTATTTTTAGATGCAGCAAATTCACACCTGCAAATTCTTTCTGCCCATCTAATGGGCTTTATTTGGGGGGTGGGGGGGCCCTTTCTGAATCAATGAGTCAATCACCGCAACGCTTGTGAAACATTATGCCTTTTACCACGCTTTGTTAAAACAAATGTGGACTTTGCTCAGAATACATACCCAGTGTGTGGACCACTTCATTAGCACTGAATAATTAAGACCTCTCCCCAAATAAAGAATTTCCCGTTGACCAATCAGCAGGCTTCAGTGAGTGTGATGTCACCCAATTTGCACAAATTTTTGCCTCCTTCAAATGGGGAGAGGTGAGTAAATACACCCCATTGCACCCCACTCCTGATTGACTTTTCAGAATATTTTCTTCTAGATGTTAAAATGGTAGCCCGAGTTGCAGTGCTTGATATTTTCCCCTCTTTGCTCTTTGTCTTTTTATTTTTTTGATCAGATCAGGCTCAACCAGATTTCTGTGTAATAATCTTAAAAATGATGACAGTGAAAAACAAACTAAAAGTGGATTAGTAGTGAGTCATCCTACTTTGGGCACACCACAGAGCGTTTCATCTGCATCGAAGCTTCCAGGCGCTCTCGATTAGTGGCGGGAAGAGGGAGCACCGTGTTCCTGACCCAGCCTGTCCTAAGAAATCCCGCCAGTTGTGTCGGGCCGTGACTCCATAGAAAATTTCGAAGTGGAACTGTTAGAGAATCTTTTTGTGAAATCCCTCCAATGTCATTTCAGCTCACCACCGAGCTACCCACAGGACAATACTGCAAGGTAATACAGCAAATTGAACACAAAGCTGCTCTGTTGTGCCACAATCTCATGTCCCCTGCCCACGGAAGTACAAACAACTGACTTGTGTGTGATTTTTAAATGTATTATTTTACCTGCAGTATTTTGTTTTGACATGAACGCCTCCAGATTGTGGTGTTTGTGTTTTGGATGGACTTTCCCACCACTGAACCCTCGCAGCCTAATTTTGAGTCTCTTGTGTGTATCCCACAGCCGTTCCCCGCACCGCGAGAAGAAGAAGATCAAGGTGAAGAAGTACTGGGATGTGCCACCACCTGGTTTTGAAAACATCAGCCCCATGCAGTACAAAGCCATGCAAGGTAGCGCCCTTGCCTGCTCGGGAGTGCCCGTGCCTGTATGTGTTTGTTTGTCAAAAGTCTGCAGAGGTGCCTTGGCTTGAAAGTTGAGTTCATTCCCTGACTTCACTTGTACCTCAAATCATTCGTATTTCAAATCAAGCTCCCCCTTATTGAAATGAAGGGAAATGCCATGACATGCCAGTCTCGCCGACAACAACACGAGAGCTTTTGAGGAAGAAAATAGCGCTGTACGTTATTGTAATGGAGAAGAACTCTGATTTCAATGGCCCATATGCGCTCTTAAAAAAATGGCCAATTTTGTTCTTTTTAAAAGGGGAAACATTTTTCTTTGGCCACTTTTTGCCTGTTTTGTGATTTTAATTTTTGAACACATTGCAACATAAGAAGATGGTGACATTCACAACCCAAAAAAGTCAAATTTTTGCAGCTTTTTCTCTTTTGTGAAATTGAACAAATATAATGGGACAAAGTATTATAAAATAGTGAAATGTTCTCCCCTACAACTTGCATTGTTGTTGTTAGAGGACCCAAAAATAACATATTTTACTTTTTTCTGTCAGTTTTTAATTAATTGTGCTCCTCCGTGTGTGTGTGTGGGGGGGGGATGTTTACACAAAACACAAGTTAGCCGTACTGTGTCACATTGTCGTGAAGTTCACTGCCATCATCTAGTGGGGCGTGCCTCAAAGTCACTTGTATGTCACAGTTTTGGCAGCAAAACAAAATAAATCAATAACCCAGCAAGTCAAGCTAGCACCGCAAGTATGTATGTTTTGCAAGCGGACTGATGGGCTTTGCATCCACAGCTGCGGGCCAAATTCCAGCGACGGCACTCTTGCCCACCATGACTCCGGACGGCCTGGCCGTCACTCCCACCCCCGTGCCCGTCGTGGGCAGCCAGATGACCCGACAGGCTCGCAGGCTCTATGTGGGAAACATCCCCTTCGGGATCACTGAGGTGCCACACGAAGCAGCGTCTAAGCGTTGAGTCCACCCTTTGATATCATGGGACGTGTATGTGATTTTCTTCTGCTCTTCTTGTTCCCAGGAGTCAATGATGGACTTCTTTAACGCTCAGATGCGTTTGGGTGGTCTTACTCAGGCCCCGGGAAATCCCGTGCTTGCTGTGCAGATTAACCAAGATAAGAATTTTGCCTTCCTTGAGGTTGGTCGTCTTTTGCCATTGCTTGCACGTGTCTTTAAAAGCGAACCTTGATTGACGCCCTCTTTCCTTTCCAGTTCCGCTCAGTGGATGAGACAACACAGGCAATGGCTTTTGATGGAATCATCTTTCAAGGCCAGAGCCTGAAAATTCGCCGTCCACACGATTACCAGCCACTGCCGGGCATGAGCGAGAACCCCAGTGTCTATGTGCCTGGTACACAGACAATTAATGGTTTTTACTATTACTACTCCTGTTGGCATCATTCATACACCATTTGCGTAAATATATATATGGGAGCTGGCACTGTTTGCTGTCCTCAAAGGTCTTGTTGTCAACACAGGAGTGGTATCCACAGTGGTGCCCGACTCAGCCCACAAGCTCTTCATCGGCGGGCTGCCCAACTACCTGAATGACGACCAGGTTAGTGGGCGGACCGTAAAGCGGCCGACCTCTGTGGAAATCTGTTTTGGAGCGTTTGTTCGCTATCCAGCTCGGAGGTCCCCGTCGTCCGACGCTCTTTGTCCTTTGAAATGCTCAGTGGCATTGGCTTCCGTACCCGGTCGCTCGGTGGGTGTTATCGTGAAGTCGCTGTTTTTCTTCCCCAGGTGAAGGAGCTGTTGACGTCCTTTGGGCCCCTGAAGGCCTTCAACCTGGTGAAGGACAGCGCAACAGGCCTGTCCAAAGGATACGCCTTCTGCGAATACGTCGACGTCAACCTCAATGACCAGGTAGCCAACGAGCGCCGCGCAAACGGCGGGGGCGGTACCCATTGTGGTGACCGGACCACTTTCAAGGCGTCCCTTCTTTGCAGGCGATCGCCGGGCTCAATGGCATGCAGCTAGGAGACAAGAAGCTCCTGGTGCAGCGAGCCAGTGTGGGATCTAAGAACGCCACTCTGGTATGTGACAAGAGCTGGGTGGAGGCTTGCGCGTATTCATTCATTCATGCAGTACTCCGGAGTCTTATGTCGTTTGCAGTTCCCTGCCAAGCTGTGCATTTAATGAGTGAACAGCTGCAAAAGATACGTCATCATCATTGGGATTTTACATCTTCAGTGTTGGATCATTCGAGCCTCTCAACCATAAGCAAAGTCAAATTTGGATGAACAAATTCATTGGAACAAAATATTTACCCATTACAGTGAAATGTTGCCAAAGCCTTGTCTAGTAGGAAAGTAGCAAGTAATGTAAAGAGTAACACATCTCAACTGAGAGAGACTAATGTCTTTTTATTTTGGGGACACGACATTCATTTATTTTTTTAGGGTAATGTAAGGTGAGTGTAAATAATTACATTATTTTACTGTCATAGTTTGTGGCATTTTTACCGTTGAAGCTATGAACACCATTAAAAAAAAATTCAAAATGAATAAACAAATCTATTCGCACATGATTTTAAAAAGTCAATACAATATCAATAAATAAAACATCCATCCATCCAAAATGTTTCACGCAAATGAGCAATTAGAAAGACAGCCACCTTCCCATTTGTGTTTTTGGAGCGCGTTGTAACAATTTTTTTTTTTGTGTGTGTGTGTGTGCGTGTGTCGTTGCAGACCAGCATCAACCAGACGCCCGTCACGCTGCAGGTGCCGGGCCTGAACAGCACCGTGACCCAAATGGGCGGCCTGCCCACCGAGGTGCTGTGCCTGATGAACATGGTGGCGCCCGAGGATCTGGTGGACGATGAAGAGTACGAGGAGATCGTGGAAGACGTCCGGGACGAGTGCAGCAAGTACGGCCAAGTCAAGAGCATCGAGATCCCGCGGCCCGTCGACGGCCTGGAAGTGCCCGGCACCGGGAAGGTGAGACCGGATCCCTTGCTCACCCCGTTTTTGCTTACAAATTTACCTTAACACACCGCAGAACAAAGGATCATAATCTTATTAAAACTCAACTTTAAAACAACCGCCGCTGTATACAAAGTGCAATACATCAAGCAAAAATAATACAGCAGCTCCTATATTTTGTTCTTCTACTTCTTCCTTTCTTAACTTTGCTGCTGTGAATTGGGAATTTCTCCATTGTGAGACTAAGAAAGGTTTTCTTATCTTATCCCGTCTGAGCCTCCGCTTCGTTCTCGGTACTTCCAATAGTGTTTGGTCCGCAGACCTGAGGCAGCGGGCAGGAGCTCCGTAAGGTCAGCTGGGGCCAGGCCAATTCAAGATTTGAAAACAAATTATAGGATCTTGAAAGAAAACAGCTGGAGCTACAATATCGCCATAACAAAAAAGAAGTTTTGAAGTTTTATAAAAAGAACAAATTAAGTCAAATTCAGCCACAATAATATTTTCTTTCTTTCTTTCTTTCTTTCTTTCTTTCTTTCTTTCTTTCTTTCCACAACAGGGGTTTGATGTTCTTGGTCAGATCTCACATGTTAACTAGCCACCTCTGGTCTGGATGATGTGAAAATGATTTTTCCACATCTGTATTGAACTTTTAAGAGCCAGACTTCATTTTTGTCACTTGCTGGTTTATAGCCGTTAATTCCCATGTCAAAGGATAAGGTGACCTTATCCATGTTTGTATTTATATTGCACTTAATTGAACTGTGTTTTCTTTTCTCTTCTTTCTACCCACAATCTTGCTGCTGAAGGCTGTAAATTTCCCCAGTGTGGGACAAATAAAGGATATCTAAATCTAAATCTAAAGTTTCCAAGTTAGAAAATGTCGAAGTGCCACTTCCATTAAAATGATTGCGTTGTCTCCCTGCAGATCTTTGTGGAGTTCATGTCGGTGTTCGACTCCCAGAAAGCCATGCAAGGCCTGACAGGAAGGAAATTTGCCAACAGAGTAGTGGTGACCAAGTACTGCGACCCTGATGCGTATCACCGCCGGGACTTCTGGTAGAGGAGGCAAGACGGGGGGGG